AGAAACATCAGGACACTGAGTTTTTCCAATTTCATGGATTCTCTTTCAAGTCGAATAATTCGTAACGTGCCGTTACACAGTGTGCTGACTCATTCTGACGGATTATATTGGCCGCTTAAAGCGACAATAGTGGCACGAGTCACCTTTCGTCTCGAAAAAGGTCAGTAATTACTTTAGGTACCCATCGGGAAGGGACGTCGCCCTCGTTCCTAAAATTTACTTAGGTATCTACTACCCCAGTGACTCTACCCGTAAAACATTCTTATGACCCAGTACACATGGTTCGGACATTATTTACCTATCTCGGCGCTCTTTCATTCTCACGAAATTCTTTTCTGACCTGTTCGTATAAAGCTACGATCATGGAACAGCTCGTACTAGGGATTCCATGGCTCGCCCGACTCACAGCTGACGCAAATGGCTCACCCTATCCGTCGAGTCTCAGCGCCTTATCCGTATGGGTTGACACATGAAAAATAGTAGGTAATGTGCGGTCCCCTTGAAGAAAAAGTAAGAGGAGCCAAACGGATCGAGGATGTTTGACCTGATATTCATGCGACGTTAGCGACTTATGTGCTAGCAAGGATCGATGTGACGAAACATTAACGCAAGAATGATTCACGGACGAGCTGTATTAGACGTACTGTAGGGTTCCTTTAGAGACTATTGAGAATCACTGTGAATAATTCGTGGGCGACGAAGATCATGCTGCCAGGGATAGGCTGTCGAAGGAGAACCGGGCTTAGTAAAGTTGGACAATGTAATTCGGCTGAAGTTGAGTGGAGCGTCGGATGATATTGATATAGACCGTCGATATTTCTCGGCACCTAGTGTACGTTATTGGGTCACGTGAAATAGACGATTTTATGGTTACATTCACGAAGGAACCTGGTGATCCACGTAAACCGTCTTTATATACGATCGTCCAATGTTCAGACCCCATGGCCCATAGACCCGTCTCTTTGGTGTTATACATATAGTAAACCGGCTTTTGGTGCTGCCAAACTAAAAAGATTGAACGAACGTGGATGATTCATCGATTCTCCTCTCAGTTATAGATACTCTAACATACTGTCTAATACATCGGTGACCTTGCATGTAGTATCACTTACAATTAGACACGGGAAAGCTCAAGACCTTCTCTAACAGTCTACCTTCCTAAATGCTATACAATTTAACGTGATTGTATCTACATTCTAGTATTCAAAGGCTACCACAGACAAAATTGACCACGAACCTTTCACGTACCTGTCGACGGATGGAAATCATCATTTCTTAAGAAATCGCTGTCAAAGAACTCCAAACTATTTTCATTCTTAATTAATCGAGATTTGTCTGTCTAAGGAGCGGAGACCTGATTCCTTACCCGAACGCGTCAATTGGGGTCGGCCAAAGGTTAACGCGTCTGAAAATAGCAAGCGATAATTCCCTCGCCTGGACATCTCCTACAAAGTAAACAAATATTCGCAGGCCTCTACGTCACGATACCTTATCTATCGCGCGACATGCGAAAATCGCAGGAAACGTTACCAACGAAACGACAGACTGTCCACGACAAAGTTCAGCCGCGATATCAACAATTCCCAGTCTCGTGAGGGCGTATGAAAATAATGATTTATATATGCACCCTCGGTGTCGAGTCCAGCGAAAAAAAAAGTTCGCTTAGAGTTTATTGGTTGTTGCAGAGTCCGTCTGGCGCGGATGTCCGATACAGAGGATAGCGTTCGTATGCGTGGAGGAGCGTGTCGTTGACACGAAGTAGGAAGGTACGTGTGTTACGTTTGTAAACGTATTCACATATGTACAGTACGTACGTTCGTCCGGTTGCTTACTTGTTCACTTGCCTGGCTGAGTGCCCGGCTGTCTAACTGGTCGACAGCTTGGTGTACTGACCTACCCTTGGCGAGTCCTTGACGCCTGGAACAGCGAGCGATAATTCATTACACAAATCGATTCCAGAAGTTCTTATTAGCCGAAGGACAATAGGATAATCAAGACAGATTCACCACGGCGATTCGAACGATGATAATCCTCGACCTCAACCGCGTGGATACGTGTGCTCGTGGTCGAGGGAATCTACGCTCTCGCAAATAAGGCAGATGCCTATTAGGCAGCTCGAAGGCAGCGAATAATATTTCAGAACGGATGAGGTCTCTACTTATATACCTCTGCCCTAGACAGGTAACTGATCTACCCTAACCCGAGTCCTTCGAGGCCCTTGAGCATCCGGCGGTAACCATTCGCGGCCTGCCCACAGCATTTGCTTTGGGCTCGTTAACAAAAACGCGACGGAGATTACGCTCTGAACGAGGTATTGATCTGTTTAGTGGCGCGTTTGTATACCCTACTTCTGGGGTATTACTGGTGTACCGAGTCATTGGTGACTCTATTCCAGGAGCCTTGTATACTGGCTGTAGTGCTGTTGCGCTTTGTTAACGTAAGTAGTAGCTGTATAAGGAGGATCGCGAAGAGAATGGTTTGATTCAAGTGGAAGATGCGCGAGAGGAGCTTCCACGAAACGAGAGGAAAGGGAGGAACAAACGTCTTGGAGAAATGGGAGGAGAAGGGGAACCCTTTGAGTGTACTGTTATCATTATGTACAGAAAATTGTGAGATTCTTGTACACGACTATACACGTAAACGTCCATAAAGTAGCGTGTTTTGTGAGAGCAGGAGAGAAAGGGAGAATATCAAGTTCCCATTGGGATGTAAAACGCGAGACCTCTATCTGTATCTCTTTCCTTTTAGGTTTTAACTTTATTCATTTCTCCTTGCTGATTTCTGCTCTTGAAGTTTGCTCGTGCTGCTTTCGTTTTCTATTTTCCTATGCTAATTTGCGAGGTCCATTCATGCAAAGTTAATGTCACTCGAGATATTCATGTGCCTATAAAACAGCGTATCTCCTAAATAAATACCGAGTCGGTGGTTGGACGTAAGGGAAAGAAAGAGTCTTGTCTTTTTAACGCGTAGAACTTCAAACGTGGAAACAACTCTGGAGTAATAGTGTAAACGCCAAAGAAACCGTTATATTTCGTCGCGTTGAAAATTTCTCACATGAAAACAGACCCAATACCTTACAGTCAATTTTCTTACGAGCCCCTTTCTTTCCCTCGTCTGAAAAGCTGCCACTTCGCCTATGGCAATCCTTGAAAGTATTTCAAGTATCTCGATTCAGCGGGATAACGAGAACTGTGTTGCTATGATTTCACTGTTTCTTTTATCTTTACGTGCCTTTCTTTCGATGTAGAATATCGAAACGGTCTGCTCTTAGAGGGAATAATCGCTTCGAAATAGTCGCTAACAATAACCTAAAGCGACTCATCGAGCTACAAGTCGCCCACGTTGCTTCCGAGGCGAAGTGGAAAGATATGCGAGGCGCAAGTGCTGAAGTGGCTCTAGTCCAGTGTGTTCTGGTGTGTGCTTGGACTCGACGCAGGTTCTACGGGAAAGCGGGTGCTCACTCGTTCGTTCGTACGGATGACTTGGCAACAGTGCGTGTGCCCGTACTCCGCACTCCTCTACACTGAACGTCGCGTTGTTGCCGTTCTTGACGCTGGCAAATCAGGTGCGGCCCTTCTTAACTCGAAGTTATCCCATGAGCGTTTCCCTGAATGTGTTGAAACCGTTGAAACGAGGAAAGAAAGTTAGTGGGAATCGCTTGGCTGTGAATTCGAAACATTTGTAAATTCTTTTCTTAACGTTTAACACCGTGACAATCGTTAGGCTTGTACAATGATACTTGTCAGACACGAATACAATACATTCCGAAGTCTGAAGGAGCCTCATGGTTTTTCTAGGCCTTATGTCTAATTGCGTATTCGCTCTTAGAAGCGTCCGAGCGACAACTTGTTGGACATTGGCACGAGTTACAAGGGAGCATACGAAAGTTTTCGTAACGTGTTTATAGCAGCTGACTGTGAGCAGGGAGAAAAGTCAGTAGCTGGTAGAGTTCGAGAGCCAACGAGGAGAGAGGAGGCCTTTGCTAACGAGGGGTTGGAGCACCGAGTGCTTTTGAGGGGATAGAAGTGAAAAGCGGACGCGGCGATAAATTATAGCTTAGGTCACTCTTTGAGAAGAAAGAGACTGCGGAGGAAAAAAACGTAGAATGGATTACTTCTCTTGGTGGCATCTTTTTTAAACGGACTACGAGGATACCCCGTGAACTGGTATCGTGGACATTCGTCCTACCATCCGATCGCTTGGACGAAATCCAAGAGCAACCAAGAACTACGGCAAAGTAATGATCTCTTTTTTGGATCTTATCCAAGGTGTATCGAGAGAGTTATTTTATTTTACCAAAGTTCCCTAAAGACTGACGTTTTGCCAAAGAATCGTCGAGTGATCGTCTCCCTGACACTTCTTCCTATACCTGCCCTCGAATGTCTCACAGTCTTCATTTAACGCGTACTATGCGAAGCTCACGTGCGAAAAGTATCCTCGTAGACATTCTTCCGAGGCTAATAAACTTCGAATGACGTTTGACGTTGGTACCTAAAAATAAAATCGAGTCAACGAGTATGCACGCGCAGTATACTCTACGTAGGCAACTGTGTTATACGATGTGTTTACATATATGTATTCCTTTACAATTGTACTAATAGTCGAGAAAACCCATGTAAATTATAACCGATGAAATAAAACTGTCGAATATTTCTGCAAGAACTATTTAGTCACTATGAAATAATTCACCAATCGTAATTTACACGAGAGATAATTATTCCTTAACGCATTAGTATCCCTGACGATCACCAGATAGTACAATTTCTCCAAATAACTTGATAAGTGATTGCCAAGCGGAAAGTTTCCAGGAAAAGATTCCAGACGGCATCGGTAATACCGAGTAGCGAACGGTTTGCCGACGAGCAACGCAGTGGAGAATGAGAAGGATGAAGAGGCGGCCGCCGTCGTTGGGACAAGAGTGTCGGGGCCAGGGACGGAGACGTTGCTGAGGATGGAAAGAGGGCGCCGAGTCGGGCGTCGAGTCGGCCGTCGTCGGCTGCGATCAGCCGCGCGGCGCTCAGTTCGAGTCGGACCTCCGCCGGAGAGAGATTGCGCCGTCCTACTGCGTATCCGTTCCGTGTTTCCTCTCCCGCAACGTATTACGCTGTGAATAATAGTAACCGTTTGAAACGCGAGTGACTCAGCCATGTAGGTTACCCGCGAAAATTCCAAGGAGGTCCTCGACGCAACAATCAGTGTCGAATTGTTGTCAAATTCGTATAAATCGTGTGGATGGGTGGGTGCGTGTGTGTGTGAGTGGGTGCGTGTGTTTATCAGTGTATAGTGCGAGAATCCGTGGTGTAAAAGTAGGTTACCCCGGTGTCCTTGGCGGGAGCCTGATATACGTGTAAGTGCAGTCGGCCCAGTTTAAGCGGCGCGCTTTTACGTAATGCTCCTCGTTTGATCGGTCAGTTCTCGTCGGAGAACGGTCACTGGAGAAGCGGCGAAGCCCTCTGGCCTGAAGGATAGGCAGAAGGAGGCCCCAGGCATTTTCGTCCTTTATACTTTACGGGATTATCGGCCATCGTTGCCCGGCTGGCGCGGGACGACGTTCGCCTCTGGATCGCGCTACTTCGATCACTTCTAAACTCGGCTTTATAAATAAGCCATCCAATAAGCCATCAGTGGACTAAACGCTTTCTCTGTCGCACCGGATTTTACTACCTGATGCTTCGCCAAAACCAGTGGATATAGAGAGACGTCGTCAAGATCTGCCACCGCCCCAAACCCCATTTCTTTCCTCCCGAGGAACCTCGCCGTTTTTCACTCTCGCCCCTCTTTTTCTTGGCCCGTCTCGCCGCGCACGACGTTGGATGGTGCTCTTGTGCGCGATGACCATGTCAAATACTCTTCGTTAACAGTGCCGAGAATCATCATCAACCTCATCGTGTCCCAATCCCCACGCTTAGTGCGCGACCGTATTCTTACATACATGTGTATATATATATCGCGAGATCTATTGTGTGATATATTATCAGTGATTTGAGAGTGTGTGATCAGTGCCCGTTTTTTCTCTGGATTATATTGGATATATTACGCTTCCTCGATCGTCGCTTCGCAAATCGACAGATATCATTTATGTAAGTAAAATTGTTTATCTTTTTCCTTGTACATCAAAGTTTTTTTTTTATTCGCGCGCAAGAAATTCCATTGTCCATTCTACCATCTTGCGCCGTCCATCTCATTGTTATGTTACCGGTAACGTCACTGACTCTTACTGCTCCTCCTCGTACCGTTAAAACGTTAGCTTCGCTTCCGCCGTTTAACTCGCTCGTTCCACTTGCACACCGGGAAATCCTCTCAGTACCTACTCGACTTCTTCATCCATCTTTCTCTTCTGCACCTTCGTGACAGTTTCTTTCGTGTGGACACGTCATACTGATTTCTCCACTTTGTCATTATCTTCACGATGACTTCCTACAAACAATCGATAATAAGTTGTGTTTATCATAAAGGGATTGTTATCATTATCAGTGATGATTGGTAAACAGTATCCAAGATCCTGTTGACATCGCAGTGTATGCGAATATCAAATATTTAATGGTCACCACGTGTTGTTCGTGACAATCGCATCGCACAATTTTCCAATTTATTGGCAATCATTCCTTCGTGGAAAAAAAAATTGATCGGACCGTATCGCGAATAGTGGAAGAGCTTTTGGGTATTGTTGTTTATTTTTTCACAATTTCAACCGCTTGTATGCGGTAAAGAACTCCTTTTCGATAAACACGATACGATCCAAGATTCATTAGTCGTAAAATTGGATTCGTCAAGACATTCCTTTGATACGGAATTGCTGTGGCGTGGCCGCGAGAGGTATGACGGTTGGGATGAAAGGAGGGAGGGGACGTCCCATTTTTAATAAGCGGCAACAACAGAGGGATACTTTATTCGCGGCACGCGCATCATTTTTCACGTTTACGGCGCGCCGAGCGAAAAAACTTTGTACCTACGTCAGGACGTATTCGGCATCGTCTGATGTATATGTATACGTTTAATTATATATATATATAATATCCATATAAATGTATACGTATATACGCTATAATACATTTTGCCGAACCCGTCGGTCGAGGGTCGTAATAATTATTCGCAAAGCGTAGCTATTTGCAAGCAAATTAATCGCGGGGCGTTCCAGTAACCTCATTACTTGCTTGCTCATGGCGTGTTCCTCGGTTGCCGAAGCCTCCTTAGTGTATGCACGAAGGAGACCGGAACCTCATAGTAATATGCTCGATTGCAAAGCGACACAAGCTACTAATTTACGCCAATTTTAAAATCCGGGGTTATCCCAGACAAATGATTTTCTAGCGTAATTCGTAAAAAGAAAGAGAGAATCGTTCTTCGCAAATCTAACGTCATTCGGCATCCGTTCAAGTGTTTACCGTCAATACGGATAGATAAATTTGACGTGTACCATTGAAATTAGACTAAAGGAGCGTGGAAAAGCATAGATACCTTCCTACCATGTCCGTTGTAACAGTGTGACTTAATAGCGTGTAGCGTACTGAGAAAACATTGCGTAATTTGGAATCGTTTAATCTTACGCACGTGTTACTCATGCTGACCAGAACTATATGAGACTTCCGGTTCGGATTTATTTCTGAATTATTTTTGTAACGAGCACGGAGAACGGCGAAAGTCGAGAGAAAGGAATTTCACGGGTAGGCTGTCTCAAGCCTAAATTGTCATACCATACGAAATGGAGAAAGGCGGCATGTTACGGTTTGACGATCTTTTCCGAAATGAATATACGATTATCAGTTGAATGATAGGTTTACTTATTCCTTGGCAAGTACGGGGAACAAAAGATCTCGAGATGCGTCGGGCCTTTACGTGGAGGACAATGACGCCACGGTCAAAGCCACTGAAGCGAGCGTGCGAATGTCAAGCACGAACGTACGTAGTATGTACTGCGTTGTAGCTGGCTGACGTACCGATCTCAGAAATTACTGGTAATTCTAGCTTCGATGCCGAACAGGATTTCAACTATGTATTATATGCTTTAGATAGCGGCAAATTCAAGGGGAATCATTTAGACGGGTTAATGTGCGTTCGTAGGGAAAAATGTATTAGGCGATAATATTTAGGTGTTATCAATATATATGGGGAAGTTCCTTAGTTATTTTACGTGGTCATGGTGTATTCGTATGTTAACAGTTAACATAGAGACTTTATGATGTTCGGTATTGGAAATTTCATCATCGCCCTGTTTTACGGTGAAGTTTACGGCTGGTAGGGAATTTTTTTTAATTACGATATTGGCCCCACCATGCGATCAGGTGATAAGTCTTTTCAAACCTCATTCCATTTCCATTTTATCCTGCCGAGCGTTGAAAGGCGTCCTCGTTTCTCGCGTGTCGTCGTCGATTTCCTTTCAACGAGCCGATCGAGTTTTACGTTAATTTACCATATCGGAACATTAACTGGTTTGTCGAGCAATCCGAAACGATTGGTTTCGCGTGTTATATTATTTCATAAATTCCGTGATCTAAAGCATAGATATTTTTATCAGACGTACGTATACGAGGGTTACGCATTACACGCCTGGAAAATCTCCCCACAAATCTTAACGAGGCCTTCTGCGCTTATACATCTTTACCCCCAGAAGTCGGAGACGCGGAGTTTCTGGAGGGTTGAGAAAAAGTGAAAGTAAACGAGGCGATTGAAGACGACGAGAAGACCAAGGAATAACATAGTTTTTGAGTAATCACTCGTTGTTCCCCGAAGCACGCAGAAGAATTCATTCGGAGATGGCTCCTCGTCGCCACGTGCTTGCCCGATGCTTTGCGTTCTGCCGGTGTCCATCCGATAACAAGATAATGGCCACTTAGTTTTCAGGTAGCGCGCGATCCACTCTGCCTGGCTAATTATTCTAAGAACTTACCGCTAAACGATTATCTCGTTCGTTGCTCACTATCTTCCCTTTAATCCATCACGTGGGGCCAAAATGTCGCTTCGTCCGTTACCTCTTGAGAGCAAGGTACGGTCGCTTAATCTCCGGCAATAAATAAGAGCATCTTAAACTCCAGAAAGCCAGTTTAACCTCCATCTTGCAGCATCCACTTTTCCTCGGCGTACCTCAAGTACCGAGTAGCGTCGCGGTTAGCGCTGATTTTATTAATGAAAAATCAAAGACGATCTTTAGGAAAAGTTACGAGGAACTTACTGTATGCTTGTTTGACCTTTTTATTTTCCTATCGGTTATTACAATGCAGCAATTGATCCCGTATTAAGCTATGTGGAGTTTCGTTACACATACTGTATCCGAACCATAGGAAGCTTCTCACGTGTACACTCGTGACATAAATCTTGGAAGCTTAGCGACACCCAAGTCTTGCCTCGGGGGGTTTGGCTCGAATCCGCAAGAGAGTCTTGCTCTCGAACGCCAAGTGTTTTAAGTCTCGACTCGTGAAAGTGGCCTCGCGCAGCCATCGGCCACACTAGTACACAGCGGAGAACAGGCCGGCGAGCACACGTGCACGATTTCTCTACCGCCGCCACGCACATTCTTTCACGATCTATTGATTCCGTACTCTGGCCAACTACCAGCTTGGGAAATGGGCACGACGTGCGCGCGGACGTTAAGTGTCGCGAGGACGATCATCCTCGCCAGACGCTACCGGATAACGCATTCCGATATTGAGGTCCTTGAACAAATGAAGCGACAGGTTTCCTTGGGACGAAAATAAAACGGAGTAAAAATAACTGGCGCAGCTATACTTTTAACCGAAAGAGCATCGAACGGCTCGTTCGACTCGAAGACAAATGAAGTTCGGTAACTGACCCGGGGCTAATCGAATAACCGGAAATTACTTTGGTCGCCTCTATAACGGGTCTTTCATCTTTGTGCTCGTCGAGTGGCATTGCGTGAAATTATTCGTTCTTTGGGATCCACACAAAATTTTCGAAATAACAAACATATTCCTCGGATGAGAAAGTGCTGCTGGGACGTGGAAGGGATATGGAATGGTGGGTGGCGGAGAGGGCGTCTGGGGAATGGAGGGGCATATCGAAGGAGACCACAGAGAATAATACGCTCGCTATCGTAACGGATATCGGAGCGCCTGGGAAAATATTCTTGGAGTTGTGGTTGTCCGTCGTTCCTGGTATTTCATCATCCGTGGCTTACCACGTGGATTATCATAATGCGGCTAGTTCGCGAAACATCTTTTGATCTTTTGACACGAGTGGTATGGGTCCTGGTCATTGTGAACTTTTACTAGATTTATGATGCGAACTATTTTTCTAGCATCTTTTTCCGTATACGTGTGTGCCTTGGCGTACGTATATGTACATTCGTATGGAAAATATTGATATACCTCACGGTTTTTATACGTTTGCGGATGCAACGAGAACACATTGGGTCAGTGGGTGGAAAACGCGTGTGTAAGCTCCGTGGCTCTTTTATCGTGCTGGGTATATAATACTGTTAAGACGGAATAAAGGCCGTTCGAGTCGATCGTTAATTATTTTTACGGTCTGATTCGCTGCGGTTCGCCGCTTTGAGATTAACGGAACGCTAGGGACCTTTAAGTTCCAGTACACTCATTTTCTCTGTCACGGAAATACAAGCTTCGACGCTATCGGCCTTAATTCAATATCCTATAGAATTTACTTCTATTGCTATGAATCTACGTGTTATATTCTCTTGGTGTTGATTTTACGGTCTTGCTCACGCGGCAGTAAAAAGGAGCGTGTGTCGTTGTGGCATTTAAATAATTCGGTACCAAATCTTTCGGGCTCACATCGAACTGCTGATTTATCTAGATCAGATTCTATGCTTTATCGAGGGAAGTGATCGGTGCACTTGAACCGTCAAGGGACATTATTGAAAACACGTGTCTGGCTTTACAAAACAGAAATACTATTTACAGAGCTGCGCTTAGGATTTTTACGGGAAACTTCCTTTTTTTTTTCCTTGTCCAACAAACCGGCTTCCGCTTCTCGGATTATTATCAGAGCCATTGTACGTATGTTGGGGGTACAAATTCAGTGTCAAGTCAAACTCCGTCAGGTGATACGAACCGCGTGTATTCGAGATACACAGTGAACGTGTGTTGTATCGGTAGCATGATAA